ACTTTAATCCCATCAAAAGGCCAAAACAATGAGCTGGTGCAGCTAACAAGCTGATATAGCTTGTTCGTCTGTGCCATACATTGTTGTCCAAAAACTATTAAAAACATCAATCATCGACATGGGCATTGTGTTTTATTTTGAGTCATTCTCACTAAAAACTATATTGCCAAGCTGCTTTAGGAAAGTATTTAGCCTTATTTAGATTTATGTCTTGAGAAAATTGGTAACTGGGGAACTTGGAACTTAGAGCCATGTACAGGCCAAGGAATGTTATTTTGATATTTTCATGGGGCTTGTTGATGACAACAAGAATATAGAAAATCACCAACTTATCCTTAAAATGCATGTGGGTCAAGTCCCTTTAGCAAAGAGCACTTGTCTTCAATCAATCCAACGATGTAATTAAATTAAATGACATTTTTTATATGAGCTATAAACGGGAGAAAAAATGCCCAGCATCAGATAAGGCACTTTGACCTTTAATTAATTTTGTTAGCTGCTCTTTACAGAAAATAAAAAAAAACTGCTGAGTAACTATACAAGCTAGCAAATGTGCACTGACATCAATAAATGTTTACTTTCTGGGATCATTTCTTATAGTTGTTTCAAGAGGCAACTCACTAAGAAAATTCCAAATTTTCCAGAGAACTGAACTGATGCACCAGAATATATTTAGCATGATATTACCAATCCACAGTTTCTCCATCCATGTCATCATGGCCTCCTGTGCTTCTGCTATCATTCCTTCAGTCATGGTAGACCGCTGACTTGGTTTTTAGTGCCTCAGCAGTCCTCTATCCTCATGATTCCAGTGACTTCCATGTATTGCAGTATACAGATTTTAAATTGGGGAAGAAGAGAGCTCTGGTATCTGATCAGTAGTGTATATTAACAGATACATGGAGTTCAGGTATCAGAAATGGAAGACAAAATAGGACTTGCATTGTTAATTTTCAGGAGGTCTTGCCACATTTTCTTGATGTGCAAATCAAATTCAGTTAGTGAGTTAACATCCCACAGTTTGATAAACCACACAGGGCAAGCTTGTTGTGTACATGACTCTGTGGTTTCCCTCATGGTCCTGTGGTTGATTTGTTACAGTTTATACATTTGTTTGGCCTCCATGTCTCATTTTTCATTTGAAACCATTATTATCACACACAGATTAATCCAGAGATACTCATACACCTGTGTTCTTCCCTGCTGACCGCTGAGCCTGGATTAGACTACCTGTTCACCCACCCTTACCCATTACAGCTCTGAAACAGCACAAGCTACCTTCTTCCTCAGCTGGTGGCAGAGATGAATGTGGCTCAGTGGGAGCTGCACCCCCCTGGGTATTTAGGGCCCACCCTGGTGTGTCCGATGGGAACGACGGGGCCAGAGCCCTGGTACCGACACCGGTGATTATTTACCGGGCCCGGGTCTCTGTGGGAACCGAGCTATGATGGATTCTGACGGGGCTGATGATCACTCTTCCAATGAGAGTAATTAATATAATGAAGAGCTACTGAGCATGTGCAGTAGCATGTGATATATAGAGTGTGCGTGTTGTCATTACTCACAGGTGACAGAGGGTGTGTGGGGGGTAATGTGAAGAGGAGGAAAGGGCGGTAAGAAAAAGCCAGAACAGGATAGGAAAGTATGAGTGTATCAACATAATGTTGGAGGATAGCAGGGATGTTAACGTCTTACAAATCAGGGGACACATTGATTAAACTATTTGCGCATCCTTGAACACCACATGTCCAGTTTGGAGCAAGTTACAAAGGCAGGAAAAGTGAGTGAAACTGTGACAAAACAAGCAGGGGCAGATTGCACAAGGCACTTTCTCCCTCAGATTCTCAATTATTATTATTGAGATGCAACCTTTTAACCAGGTAGTGGGTCCATGTTTCACAACAATTCACTCCACCCCCCTAGATATTCTAATGAGGACTTCTTAGTTATAATTAGCTGCTGCTGTGTGCCTCACTGTCGTTGTGACATGTTATGTGCTGACCCGCTGTCTGCAATAGAATTATCTTCCCTAATGAACCTAAGCGTAGTCAATGACTCAGGATGGGGGAATGTTGTCTACAAAACAGGAAGAAGACTTGTGTGGGTGTTGTGCTGATGTGCAGACGCTGTGGGTGTGGATATGGGCTCCGGCTAAATGGCCTGACTATTATTGGTGGGTTCATGTAAAAGATACCAAGGCCACATTACTACACAGTGAGACAGTGGCTCGTTACGCACTGCCGGGCGAGCTATTATACCTGCTAGAATCCAGCCTCTAATTTAGCCACACGCCACTTAACGTGCGTTTGATATGAATCACTGGGTGCTTAGAGGAGCCCCCCGCCCCCCCTGCACTGTGACCCCACCGCTCTTACTTCCTTAAAGAGCGAGTCGTTAAACAGCCGAGAGGATCCACCAGCCGTTATAATGGTGATATAATGAACGCTGTTGCCTCAGGTATCTATCACAGCAGCAACTCTCAGAGCCAGGCTGTTTTATTCTCTAAATGGCAGAGGGGGGGGTTACCAGGAGGGTGGTTAACTTCAAAGTCTGAGAAGACACCAGCAGGAATAGGAACTTGATCATCTGTGTATAACGTACATAAGTATGATTTCAAGACAAGTTAAGCTCAAGGAGAAAAGTTGCATGATGCTTGAAAAAGTATTATACCATATATATCTCTCAGCTCAGACTGGACTATTGTTCCAATCCCACATTACAAACACAAGTCTTGCATGAACTCCTGCTGACACATCAGGCTGATGTCGTATCCTGGTGAGGACGCAATTCAGTGTGGTGTGTCTGGTGGCCCACCACTGGCTGCCTGGCTGAGAGGGCGAGGCCCTCTGGCTCAGACCGGCTGGCTCGGGACTCGGTCGGTCCTTCGGTCGCTCGCGTCCCCTTCAGACGTCAGTGCAGGCCGGTTTCACCAAGGCTCCTTTACAGCCGGCTTTCATGTGTCCTTTAATGAGGAAACCGCCGGCTCAGCAGCACGCTATAAAACACAGGCAAATTAAAACACCCAAATATGAATCAGCCACGCTGCCTAATTCAGAAGACTAGTCCAGAGGCGTAGGAAGACCAGAGTCTATTGTCTGCAAAGGTCAAGAGGGTGTTGGAGGCTAAAAGATACCAAATCCTGCTTCACAAGTGACATGGGAAGAGATGTGTTATATCAATGGCTTCTTGATGTAAACCTAGACGTTTTATTTTGAGATGGAGATAATCTTCAAAGCACACAGCCGAGGCAAGTGCATACTTCCAAAGGAACAATAACAGAGTGAGTCACAAGCCCACGACACAACCCCTGCCACCAACGGCCCACCGCAGTCTGCTACGACTGTGGCTGCCACTTAGACGACAGAAGCTCAATAAAATGTCGCGAAGAAACACCAGCCCTCAGAAAAAAAGAGTGAAATAAAACAAAACCGCATTTGTTTTTTCCCCCTCATTTCATTGTAATGATGGAAATAAGGGCATCATTCTGAGATTAGTGCTGCTATTTCTCCCCGTCTGACGTTAAGCGTTATATGAGCGCCTGCTTAAGAGCTTTGGAGAAACAATGGAACAGACCACTGAAGAGCAGGATATTATCAGACTCCACGTTAAATAAGACTGTTGTAATAGCATCTTGAACTTGGACCCAGATGACCAAGGTTTGTACACACATAGTGAAAGACCAAAGGATTACACAGTAGCCTGTTTAGTGTTTATTGTCCTGTTGGTCACCTTACCTGTTATGTAATCAAGTCAAGTTTGGTTGTCCCCGAGGGGATTCACGTATGACATCGTCTATCCCTAGACCCTTGATCCAATTATGGAAAAACTTCACAAATAAAACATTTATGAGTAAAGTAAATGTCTTTCTATGATCTCAAAAGTGAGAATATAAGCTGTAAAGGTAAGAGTATGACTAAAATATGAATAGGCTGCTAATTTATGACTTGCTAGCAATTTTGGTTTGTTAGTGTGTCAGTTGGTCCACAGACTCAACTATTGGATAGATTGCCATGAAATGTTGTACAGACATTCATGGTCCCCAGAGAATAAATCCTACTGGCTTTTGTGATGCCCAGAATTTTCCGCTAGTTTCACAAGCAGGTTCACATTTTTGTTTTTTGTGGCATGTTTTTACAACTATGTGACAGATAGCTATGCAATTTATTTAAGATATTCATGGTTTCCAGAGGATAAATCATGACTTTGGTGATCCCCCTGACTTTTCACTGTCAAAAGTTTGAAAGCGGTTCAACTTTAAAACATTAGTTTCCCCGCTGCCTTAAAAATGTGTTCATGGAACTAAAATGTAACAATTAGTTTAAAGTCATCTCATGAAATGTAAAACCAACTAAGGTTAGTAAATTTAATTTTTCAGTCTGATTTGCTTTCCATTTTCACACTTTCTGGTGGTTCTCACTGATTTCAGTATTGTGATAAGAAAACAACCTTTACTTATCCAAGTAAGACTATACGACTTACAGCAAGTTTTCGTCATGTCTGCTTTATTCAAACCACAAAAAAGAAGGGTCTATGGGAAGATATAACTCTCAAACAATGCATGCTGGAAAGTCTTTGGAAACTTAATTTGATGAGTTAACACTCAGCAGTTTGTTCATTTAACTCACTTCAAGTCAAAAGACTTCATGCACTAAGTTATTTATTTTAAGTTGAATTGACTTGAAATGAATGAAGTTTGTATATTTTGTTTTCAAGTTAATGACAAAAGAGTGCTTGAGTGCACCAGCAGGTAAGTTCACCAGAAATATCTCAACATCTAGTGGATGAATTGGTACCAAATTTATTTCACTCATATTCCCAGGATGTCTGCATCACATCAGTGGTTTTGAGTGAAATATATCAACTATTGGATGGTTTGGCATGAAATATGTTACAGAGAAACATGCCCCTCACAAGGTAATCACTTGATAATCCCCTAAATATCTTTCATGATGACCAAATACTTGCAAAACGTCTGACAGCCTGAGCTGTATTTAACATGCTAAACAGTACAAGCATCAGCATGTTAGCATTCAGATGTTGAAAGCAAGAAAAACGTGTCCCACAAGCTGGCCCCATATTTATTTTTTTATTGTGACAATGAGTCATGTTCCACTATAGGGATGATAAAAAAAACAAAACATGGCATTCAGTGAGCTAGAGTCAAACAAACTAAATAACGTATACATTTAAAATGTAAAAATACACACATATTTAGATTTCTAATTGAGATTTAGTAAAAGTTTAGATTTAGAGCTGGTGGTTTGACTTTTTTTCTCACCCCTCTGGTGGAACATGATTGTCTCATCACCATCAGATGTGTAATTTGGGTGTGGCCTGTCTTCTTCTCATTGTTGAATCAAACGATGCATATTGAAACAGAGTGTGCGACACCTTTTTCCCTACTTCTAAGTCCGATTCCAGGGATCAGCGCCTCATCACAAAAAGTGCTACATCTTCAGCAGCATACTGAGGGCTACTTATCTAACAAAACCAGACAAACACCAAATACACAGAACATCTTTTATTTTCAGGCCACAATGCGACTGAGGATCTGTTTCACAGAGCAAAGACAAACTGTAGACACTATTAATGCATTTTACTACAAAAAGTGACAGTCCATTTAGATTTCTCTTCAACACTATGCAACAACATGTAATATACATTATGTACATTTGTTCAGAGGCGGGAGGAAACGTTCCTCGCTTACACACATGTCGTACAAGTTGAGAGAGAGGAGAGATATGCGAGGATGGACTTTAATTAAAGTCAAAGTGGGCAACAGAAACTGCTAGAGAATGAGAACAAACTTTTGTAGTGAACAGTATAAAATTCAATCAGTGTTGGTCACAAAATAATACTCCAGTGGCTCGATAAGCAGACGTAGACATCAGAGAAGACAAGAGGTAAGTTCAAAGAGATTCTGTAACTGTATCAAAATGGCCCGCCACATCGCACTGCGATGCACACAGTGCAAAAATAACCAGATATATAATCACAGTATTCAAATGAGCTTAAGTGGTCGGTCCAGTGAGTGAATGACAGAATGTATGCTGGTGACATGAATGAACACTTGAATGACACCACTTTTCTCCCTAAACCGGACAAATGTAACAAAACAAGTGGTTTTGGTAACCTTACATGTAGTGCTGTGAATATTTTCTCCAGCAGAAAAACAGGTGACCTAAACTCTGCACTCTCTTGCACTGGCTCTTCAATGAAATCCCCCCCCCGCGCTATGTGAATCCTCTCTGTAGCTTGCATTTCCTTTTCTGTCCTTTCATTGAACAGGGACAGGTTACAGTCATTTGGGTAACAGGCAATAAGCACAAACCCGACAAAAGCATACTTAAACTTTTAACCATCATGCAGTTATTACTTATCAATCATCTTGGAAAACCACATAATATTTTGCATTGGTACATATAAACCAGCAGTGCCTCTTCCTACCTCTCATTTTGCAGTCTGGCCTCTCATTCCAGAGTGGAAAGAGAGTTGCTTTGTCTCTAGATACTGATCTAAGGTCAGTTTTAGCATTTCCCCCCATGCAGAGGGAGAGCCGTGATTTGAAAATATGATTCAGCTAAGGCTATGAGGGAACATGTGCCGACATACAGTATGTTAATTGGACCGCAGATCTGTGCCTGAGGGCATGGCCTTAGACTCTCCTGAGCATAGTGGGATAAGGGGCACTGGGGTGTGGGCATGTATGTGCATGTGTGTGTGTGTGTGTGTGTGTATGTATGGTAATGTCACAGTCAGCTGTGCTCCTCCTCCATTCACTGTCCTTCCTCCTCACGTAGGAATTGGAAGACGGATGAGAAGTCCTTGTTAGCGTAGCCGCGGGAGCACATGACTCTGAAGATCTGGTGGGCGAGGGAACCCAGAGGGATGGGTGTCTTAGTGTTGGTCGCAGTGTTTTGAGCCAAACCAAGATCCTAGAGACAGTGAGAAAGTGAGGCAGGGTGTCAGATAGTTGGACTAACGTTATAATCTATTTTTGGCCATCTAAAGGCTGTAAGAAAGAAAGTGTTTATCCTAATTTTGTCAAGATTTCTCAAGTTTGGTGTGTGTGATAGAAGCACACAATGAAAGTGTATTAATAGACACCCAGATTCACTAAATAATACACGGCTGCAAACTGACCCATAGAGAGTAGCTAATGCAGTGACGGTAAAATTAAGTGGAACAGCGCAAGTCACAGATGGGTTGTGAAGGGGAGTATCACACAGACACAAAAGAACAGTAACAAATTGAGACAAAGTAAATTGCAGGGTTGAGAGACAAAGAAAGGAGAAAGAGTAATAGTAGTAGCAGAAAACTAAATGGAAACAACTTTGATAAATGATTAATCAGGTCTTTTATCTTGGGGAAAATACCAAATGGGATGATTTGCTTCTTTTCTCTGTTTTATTTCATTTTGGATTGTGAATCAAGTTTGGATTGTTGGAAGGACTATTTGATGTCAGCTTGGGCTGTGGGAAATGGCACGTGCATTTGTTACTATTTATAGACTAAAGAGTAAGAAAAAACACCTTAATCAATTAAGCAAAAATAGCTAGTCAAGAGATTAATCCAAATAAAAAGGATCATTAAAAAAAAGTGACAAAGACATGGAGCAGGTTGTACCTTGGCCATTAGTGTGGTTCCAAAGCCACCCTGGTAGTTGTTGGCTGAGGGGACTCCCTCCATGACGCCGGGGACTGGATTATATGTGTCGCTGGACCAGCAACGACCTGAGGACATGTTGAGGACCTTTGCCAGCAGCTTGGGGTCCAAACCCAGTCTGGGAAAAGGAGAAGGAGAAGATCAGTATCTCCTTACTTGGCAACAGGGGAATTCATGGGTAAATCAGTGGCACAAAACAGTTAAACTGAAGGATTAGATTTACTGCCACACTGAAGACTCAGGATGAGGTTGTGAGAAAAGGTTGAAAACTGTCAGTAGCGTTAAAATAGGAAAGAGGAATTATGAAACAGTGAGGAAATGGGACAGACGGGATATAAGATCGGCGATTGTGGAATTTATTTTCAACACAGATCAAAAAGAGAAATGTGGAGAAAGATGGGTGTGGGGCGGCTGGTGCTTGTAGTGACCCCAATTGAACCTTATGCTAGGCTGTGACCATTCCTCAATGTTAATGGCTGAAGGCTTTGTAATGCTGGCTAATGCAGTATTGATGTTTAAGAGCACATCTATCGCTCATCATCCCTCTTTCATGAAAAAAGAAAGTGGAGGAGGAGGAGAAGTGGTTAAGCAGCACAGGGGAGCAATAAACCTCGCTGTCACTCGCTCTTACTCCTGCTGCCCCATTTTTGCAACAACCCACTTTCATACAAATCTCCAGGCCACGACAAGAAGAGGCAAAAAGGAAAAAAGGGACAGACAGGAGCAGAGAGTGAAACCATTACAGTAGAGAGGGTGTAACTACAACGTCTGTGTAGTGCAGCTTTGGTATATTAACGGTTTAAAGGCCAGTGTAAAGCGGACCACATCAAGCCCTGGCTGCCTCACTTCACTGTTACTTACAGGGCTGTAACTCTATTCTGCTCTCAATATGACTATTAAACCATCATAGGTCCTTAAGGCCAGCAGCCTCACTCCCTCCCTCCACCTGGCTCTCATTCTGCCATTACTACCACAGTTTTTATTAGCTGTCTGCTAACTAATTAAGAATGTGAATTGAGTTTACGCTCTCTCCATGTCTGTCCCTCCTCCCTTCGCCTCTTTTGTGTCCGCACTTTTTTTTTTTTAACAAACCGTTTTGGAAATGTGGCATAAGTGGCGCTTGTGTGCATGCATGCGTGTGTTTGTAAACATATGTTTTAGCTTGAAAATTTTTTTTTTAATGGCAGTCTCGCTCATGATGGCTTCTTTAGTTTACGTCTGAAAGCATCCTCGCCATCCTGCTTCTCCTCCGCCTCTTCTCCTCTTCCTCCCCCCCTTCTTCCCTGCTGACACCTCCCTGTCTGAGGACTCTGGGGGACATATGTTTGACATCGCACACAACCCCCCCCCCCCCCCCATCTCTCCGCACACACAGGCAGGCAGCCCCTCCCTGCGTTCTGGGTCAGCAGCTGAAAAGGTTACTGGCTGAGCTACAATAAAGCGCGTCCGAGCGCGCAGATCGTTTGTTATAGCGGCCAGAGACGCTGACGGGGAGCTGTTGTCCTCTGTTAACGATAAATCAATGAAGTTCCCCTCCTGCTCCCATCACACACACACACACACACACACACACACACACACACACACACACACACACACACACACACACACACACGGTTATTAGCTGACGCAGTGGTGTTGTTCCTCGCCTGCGGTAATTTGCGTGGAGAAGACGACATGTCACGCTTTAACAAGATTGACATGGATAAAAACACAAAGATACGAACGTGTTGCTGTGCGATGCCACTGCACATTAAAGAAATGTGAGAGAGAGATGAAGAAAAGAAGGGAAGGAGTTTATGTGCTGGGGAGCTCTAGCAGGTGCAGTTCATTGCGATTAGCTTCTCGTCCTTGTTTGATGCCACAGGAGAGGAAGCCCAACCTGTTCCCCATTTATTATTACATTAAAGAGCTAACGAGCACATACACACATACACACACACGCCTTTACTATCCCATTTATAGAGGCAACAAGCGAGTTTATCACCCAACTTTAATCGTCATCGGAACATATGCTCACAATCCATTTAAGGAGGAGAGATGCGTGTCTGCGTTCATGTTTGTTGTGGCAAATCTTTTTACGTCTCATAGGGTTGGGTGTTTTGTCCTTCGTTTTTTCCTGTTCTCCTTATAAAAAGGAACAAATATGCGTGTTCCTACTGGAGACATGCATGTTTTGTATGCATGAATGAGTGCAGGTACACAGGCGTGCAAGGTGAACTGTAAGCCGTTAAAGCCTCATATCCCTTCTTGGGCCAGTCGCCTCTCCTCTCATCTTCATGTGCATCATTAAAATCCCTGCTGCTACTGTCTGCAGCTTCTCGTCTCCCTCTTCCACTCACTGGTCGGCTGCGTGCAGAAATTACAGCAGGCAGAGGAGAAATGAAGGGATTAAAAGAAAATAATAAAATGAGGAGGTACAGCAAATAGGGACGGGGAAGAAAACTCGAAAGAGAGGGAAAGTGAGGACGGCAGACAGGCAGGGTGTGTGTGTGTGTGTGTGTGTGTGTGTTCATAATTGTCATGCGTGGCCATTCCTTGCACTAAGAGAACGCCACGCTCCGTTGGAGACGGCCCGAGTTTCCATCTCAGATCAACAAATTAGCTCCACGAACAGAGCTCTCTGTGTGTGTACACAGGTAAGGGGAAACACACATACACGTATTTGAAGAAAGGGCAGCTCTATCAGGCCCAAGTCCAGCATGATAAAATGTTATTGCCGTTTTCCTGTAAATTGGCTGTGAGTGCTCAGTCTCCTTTGTGTCAGACTGTGTTGTGTGCGTGTGTGTCTGTACACATGCGCCTAAGAGAGCGCCCTTTCTGCATAAGAGGATGGGCCGCAATGCAGCATGGGAGATTTACGGGTGTGGGCTCTCTCTAAACGATGACAGTCTTTGTCAAACCCTATAATAAAGCCCCAGAGATTGGTTAGTAAAGGGGACACACACACACACACACACACACACACACACACACACACACACACA